TGTGGGTGTGGTGTGGGTGTGGGTGTGGTGTGGGTGTGGGTGTGGGTCTGATTGTGAGTGCGTTAAGAGCTGATCCACACCCACACTCACGCACTCACACTCCACACCCCTCCCACACCCACACCCAGCCATCGAGTCAACTTTCAACATATCAAAACTCTCATTGCATCATCTAGTATGACTATGTTGATAGTGTTTATGAAAAAAGTTTGAACGAAATCGATTTGGACGAACTTGAATAACTCTATTTGGAAAATCAGCAAGGTTGATAATCTATTCGTAAGAAAGAGGATCAGAGCGGAAACTTCTATTGGCAACTGAATATCAAACGAAAATTGCGGTCGTTTTGTCTGTGCAAAAATCTATATTACCTAAAAATTTTCATAACTCTAGTAGTTTTCGTTGGTAGGAATATATTTCAGTAATAGTTGTAGATGTTGCTAAAACAAACGATTGAAAGTTGTGAAACTCGGTTTTGGATCTTGTTGTAGTGGTTTTGATATCTCATTAGAAGTACATTCTATAGGTCGAAAAATGTCATCGATGTTTTAAAATACGAAGGTCTACAAAATAAGGAAGACAACATTCAATATCAGAGATTTCTAATTGAGCATTTCTCTCAAGTGCTAGACCATGTTTCTTGTTCAATGACTGATATATATTCGAATCTTACGAGGATTAAACCGTTATCTAAAAAGAGAACTATTTCATATAGAGCTGATAAAAAACTCTCATATGTAAACATTCAGATTGCTCTGTTGAAACACTTCTTTCTAGGATGGTCGATTACCAACAGTATGAGTGTTATACGATACGGCCACATAGCATCGATGCTGAGCAATGGAAAAGTCTTAGCTGCTGGTGGATTTGACACCTATGGCGCCTCGAATACTGCAGAACTCTATGACTCAGCAACAGAAGTGTGGACAAAGACTGGAAACATGAGTATTGGACGATAGTATCACACAGTATCCATGCTGAGCAATGGAAAAGTCTTAGTTACTGGTGGATGGAGTTATAGTAACTATTCGAATAGTGCAGAACTCTATGACCCAGCAACAGGAATGTGGACAAAGACTGACAACATTAGTATTGCACGAGCCTATCACACAGCATCGATGCTGAGCAATGGAAAAGTCCTAGTTGCTGGTGGATTTAGCTACAATGGCTACTTGAATATTGCAGAACTTTACGATCCAGCAGCAGGAGTGTGGGCAAAGACTGGAAACATGAATTTTGGACGATGGATTAGCACAGCATCCACGCTGAGCAATGGAAAAGTCTTAGTTGCTGGTGGATTGGGTTTTGGTGACTATTTGAATAGTGCAGAACTCTATGACCCAGCAACAGGAGTGTGGACAAAGACTGGCAACATGAGTATTGCACGATGGGGACACACAGCATCGATGCTGAGCAATGGAAAAGTCTTAGTTACTGGTGGAGCTGTTATCGGTGACTTTTTGAATATTGCAGAACTTTACGATCCAGCAACAGGAGTGTGGACAAAGACTGGCAACATGAGCATTCCACGATACTATCACACAGCATCGATATTGAGCAATGGAAAAGTCCTAGTTGCTGGTGGATATAGCTACAATGGCTACTTGAATAGTGCAGAAATTTACGATCCAGCAACAGAAGTTTGGACAAAGGCTAGCAACATGAGTTTGGCGCGACAGTATCACACAGCATCGGTACTAAGCAATGGAAAAGTCTTAGTTGTTGGTGGACAAGGGTCTCGTGGCTATACGAATAGTGCAGACTTATATACATGATCAATGTTAGACTAAAATATCACTCATTGCCCTGAAATTTGAACTTTTTATTTATTCTCTTCTATTTATCCTTCAATTATTCGAGAAAGCTATGACCATGATAATGTCTTATTTCTATTTCGAATTAAAGATATGTTTAAAGAAACCTTTCCATTGTCATCCATCCATGTTTAACATAAAAGAGAAAGCAGTAAAAGAATATACCATGGTGTATAGAAGCATGTGATTCGATTTTCGCAAACACTTTACCCAGATTATTTACAAATGAGCTCATTCATATATCATCTTGAGGAGTTTTGGAATTAGTATCTATCAAATAAAAATTACGGATATTCAATGTTCTTTTCCAAAGTTATCATTATCACACGTTTTGAGTGTTTCACGTTACGCAAACAGTGAATGCAGGCATGTGGACCATATTTTCTCAAGACACCTAAAACTCATATAAATTTCAACTACTAGTCATTGTTCATTGTCATACGACAAATCTATGCAGATACTGTTTAATTATATCAGAAAAACTAGCCAAAAGAGCTTATTGACAAGGCTTGAGAATACTACTGAAGTTTGACCAAGAAAAATCTCTTGAGCTGCGTTAATGAATCGAGTGAAATTTTCTCTGTCAACTCCTATAAGAGAAAACCCGATCCTCGCGGAGAACTACCAATATCTATGATATAGACATCAATGTTTTTTCTTGGATCGCTATAGAACTAGGAATTTTCGAAATCAAGACACATCCCAACTCTGTCATGGTACTCTCCTCGAGAAAAATTGTTTTTTTTTTCTGCTTTAAAAAATATTCACAACATAAAGTGGCTTTGTATGACAAAAGTAATGATTCAAAGATGAAAGGTAGATAGAATCATTCAATGAAAGATATTATACCCAAGACAGATGAATAGTTGAATGTGTGTTATGCTTGTCAATAACTTCAAATAATCGTTTTGCTGTCTGATTTTTGTGATCGATGGGCTATGGATTGTATTGGAAATTAAGAATGATGAAGCAGTTGGTTTGTGTTTCAGACTTCTTGATTATGACTCTTATGCTAGTCATATTTTATCTGACAATTGATTACTGTAATGCAGAAATACCACTTATAGGATGAGTTTTGATAGAAGAAATAGTGTTTTTGTTGGTAAAGTGTCAAAAGACCGAAAGTCAAAACGTCGAAGGGCAAAATATCGAAGAAAAAACGTCGAAAAAAAAACATCGAAGAGTCAAAATGTCGAAAGGGTAAAACGTCGAAAATCCAAAAATGTCGAAAATAAAATGTCGAATGTACAAAATGTCGAAATGTAAAAATGTCGAAAAGAAAATGTCGAAAAGCAAAAGATCGAAAATGTTGAATATGAATGAGAGTACTACGAAATTTTCTAATAGTGCATTGTCTATTATTTTACGTCTGTTAAATAGAAGAAGATATAGATTTTGCATTCTTGCTGAACACAAGAGGAAGCAAAACAGATGAAAAAAAATTGTTATATTATAATTCAAATACACAAGAAAAAACAGTAAAAGTGCAGATACAATGAAGAATTTAATTTTTACTTTTCACATTTTTTGCAACAAAGAAAGACAAATATAAACCTTGTAAATATTCTTGAACATCAATTTCTTGATTGCCGAATCGACTTGTAAGTGCATTAAGCCTGTCTTGCATCGCGCACACTTTTTTCGACCTATTTTTATTTTTTCCACTCTTCATTATGTATTACAACACGATAAATGATTAAATGTCCACATACATCGTTAGAAAGAGATATATATGGACGGATAATAAGAAAAAAATAGATAATGAGCGAAAAAAAAGACGCTAGTTGAGGCCGCGACGAAAGCAAGAAAAAATTTACATAAATGCATATGCCCTTATGGCGAAATTTATCAACAATAATGTAAGAGTGCAAGTATGGTATGTGTATGAATCTTTTTTTCTTTGGTACTGATTAGAAAATTTTCGACATTTTGTACTTTCGAGATTTTTCTCTTCGACTTTTTCACTTTCGATATTTTGCCTTTTCGACATTTAGTTTTCGACGTTTTTCCTTCGATATTATGCCATTCGACTTTTTTCTTTTCGATATTTTGCCTCTTCGATGTTTTGCCTCTTCGATATTTTAACTTTCGACGTTTTGACTTTCGATCTTTTGACACCTATTCTTTTTGTTCATCATAGAAAGAATCAAATAGAATAAAATACAGATAGAATAGAGAAATTCGGTGGTTGTTAACTGTTCTCCTATTATGCTGAGACGAAAATAGTTTTGGTATGTTTGACGGTGGCAACAGACATAAACCATATCAAGTTCAACATAGATTATGATTAAAGCGTTTCTGTGCTTAGATTGCTATAAATATCCGTTCAGCTTGTTTCTCACTTTTCCAGTATCAGCTACATAACCTTGAACTTACAATGGAGGTGTTTGTATTGGCCGTAAAATAGATTAGACATATTCGGGTCAAATTAAACCTTTCATCGAGAAATTACTAAATTTAAAATATAGGCGGTCCTTGGTGTGCGCGAACTGAGATATTCAAATTTGAAGGCATCTACGGTATATGTAAGTTGCTTGCAAATCATCACTTCAATACAATTTTTTCTTCTTTTTTTCGTAATGATTGGATAGAACTCATCGAATTGTATAAGAAAAGGTGTATTTCAATTTAATAAACGAAACTTTAAGAAGGACGCCCAGGATACCATCGTTTTCAAATAATATAAGCAAAAGTCAAGAGGAAAAAGCGAAAGTTTCGTAGTTCAGCGTACTGCACTGTACTCTAAGCATATGTCGACATTGTTTTAGACAACTGTTTAGTTATTTCAGGTCTACTATCGACCTGTGTTAGGGCATATTAGACGAAGTTCAGTCTATGTAAGCCTATCAGGCAATAAAGCCTAAATGTTTCATTGTACTTCAAAATTTGAGCAGAAGTGAATTGCAATGAAGTACTTGGACTTTGTTGTCCGATAGACTTACATAGACCGAACTTCGCCTGATATGTCCTAACATAGGTCGATAGTAGACCTGAAATAACTAAACAGTTGTCTAAAACAATGTCGACATATGCTTAGAGTACAGTGCAGTACGCTGAACTACGAAACTTTCGCTTTTTCCTCTTGACTTTTGCTTATATTATTTGAAAACGATGGTATCCTGGGCGTCCTTCTTAAAGTTTCGTTTATTAAATTGAAATACACCTTTTCTTATACAATTCGATGAGTTCTATCCAATCATTACGAAAAAAAGAAGAAAAAATTGTATTTAAGTGATGATTTGCAAGCAACTTACATATATCGTCAACGCCTTAAAATTCGAATATCTCGATTCGCGCACGCTAAGAGCCGCCTATATTTTAAATTTAGTAGTTTCTCGGTGAAAGCTTTAATTTGACCCGAATATGTCTAGTCTATTTTACGGACAACATAAACATCTCCATTGTTAGAGAAAAAGCAGGTTTTTGACTGGTAATCGCAGGTTTTGTAGCCGATGATGCTCTCAAGGAGCTTTCATAGTTCATATTCAACAAGATCACGTTGTTTTAGCTATTATGAATGTTTTTTCACAAGATTAGAATCATGAATGAAGAAAATACTGAGCCAAAAACCTGAATATAAAGCCAAACGAGCACCTCGAAAAGGGCTGATTTTTTGTTTACTGAAAAGCTTTCAGCACTTGATATATTGATATTCGTAATCAGCATACTTGACTCAATAAAAGTGTTTAAACGAAATCAACAATAAAAATTTTTTCAGAGATTCCCTGTGGGGGACCACAGGTCCCAAAAAGGGTGTGGGTGTGGGGTATGGGTCTGTGTGGGTATGCAGTCTCATTAATCATACCCACACCCCATACCCACACCCACCCTCTCGGTACAGGTGATATTGAATCGGTCAAACTACGTATATGATGGGAAAATTTTATTTTGCAGCATATTCAAAATGTGTATGAATTCTATCATGCTTATCACCATCGTGGTATTTCAAAAATCGATAGCTTACCAGATGAAGGAGATGGCTTGATCTTCGATACGCGATTGATTGAAAGTTCGACGCATTGAATCACCTGCAACCATACAGAAACCTTTTGGAAAAGATTTCCACTTTGCATTCGCGTGCTGTGGACCTCCATAGTCGCCCTTACGCATACTATGGGCTATTTAATTTCAGTCTGAATTTATCAAATAAAAATAATACTTGATTTCAAACTGAAACGTGAGTCTAGGAGTGAGGGGGGGAGTGACTGAGGGTGTGGGTGTTGGTCTGGGACCCACGCACACACCCACACCCATGGTGCGGGTGTAGGCGCGCGAGTGAGGGTGAGGGTATGCTTGTGGCTTTGTGTACTATAGGCTTTAGTCCCCTGCACAAGGGACTAAGCGGGGACTAAGCTTTTTGTGGGGGGGACTAAGGGGGACTTTGCAGGACTATGGGGGACTAAGGGTTTTTAGTGGGACTACGTAGTATCAAACGAGAAAAGTTTGATTCGGAAGAAGTTGGTGCGGTTGTTTTGATTTTAGAATTCAGTTTGAAATAAAAAAGCCCATAGACTCCCCTTACGAGCCAGATAGTATATTATTAGATAGCTATTAGGTAAGGACGAAAAAGTTTCATTAGGCCAGCGGTAGTATCTAGTACCAATGAAAAGAAAGTACGTAGGAATAAAAGATTAATGAGGCAAGTGTTACATGCAATCACATGACAACAAGAGAAGTCACTGCAGGTTAATGAATTAAGGGATTTTTTAAACTTACAAATCAAGATGTCAATAATTGCTATTATGGATCGTATAAACTGAGCATGTTGTACAAGAGGCCGATCTAGTAACTTCGGAAAGTTCTATTTCAGATTGACCTTTAACTCCAGCGCTAAAATGGTTACCACTCACTATTTTATGTACATGTCCCGATATGGTTCCTGGAGTAGAGATCGAATCAAGGCGACCACAATAGAGAGGAACATTGCTGCATGAAACTTTCCATAATAGACAAGTGTCTGCTAAAGCTACTCGAGTATGTTTAATAAAGATTCAAGTCTGCTATATCTATTGGTGGTAACTCACCAAAGTTAACGATACCAAATATAGTGCAAATATTAATCAAAATGAACTTTTGACTTGCTATCATATCATATTGCTAAATGATTTTCAAGAATATTAACTGTACAAATAATTAAATCTTCAATATGAAAATAGAAAAAAAACTCTCTATCATTAAGACATATGTATGCTGCGTTTTTTATTTGTCAATTTTAAATAATAAAATATTATTAGTTAACGAAAATATAAGTCTTTTGATCAATAAAACTTTTTAAAAAATCAGTAAATTTTTGCTTTTTTCCATGATCATCGCTGTAGCAAATGAAAGCACGGTAAATGTTGCAGTAGTTTAAGATTTTTTTTTGTTTTTCTTTGTATTGGTCTCCGCGCATAGAGCATTTGTATCGAAAAGGTGAAGCTAGAAAAAGATGCATTTTTATTTGATTTACTTATATTTGTGTCTCAAACAAGAATATGATCTAACCTCTAATTGCTCAATATTTGATTCATTGATATCGATAGTGTCATTGTATGATTGTAGGCCAAATCGATTTCGAGCATGAAGAAACACGCGATGAATATGAAACCAATCTTACATAACAGAAAAATAATTAATCAGCATTATTTCAAAAGTAGAACAATATGAATGACTGACTTCTTAAGGATAGTTTTTCAGTTAAATCATGAGTTAAGATAAATGGATCTTCAATAGCAATAGTTGGATGAAACCATCCTTTTTCTGAACGTGGTAATGGTTGGATTTGTCGAATAGTAACAATATTCTTGTCATAATCGAATATTTCTGTGTAATAGCGTAGAAATTCAATCCATAATTCACCTGATGATAATTTATTCAAACCATAGTCCTTCCATACTTCATTCTAGAAAACATATGCATAATCAGAAAAAAAGCAAATAACGCAAAAAAAAAGCATTGATCATCATAAATACGAACAAGATTTTTTAAATCATCATAGAAGTAAACATTCCAATCTTCACGTTTTCGAACGTTCGGTATATTGCTTGACAGACCATTGGGTAACTAAAATTTGAAAGTGAATGACAGAAGTCACAAAAGACTATTCATAGCATATTATCTACAAACTTGTTGAAGAACAGGTATAACAGGCGGCTGAACTTGCTGTAGAAAGTGTATCACCATGAGAATGTAGGCATAGCTTGACAGTGTTCCACGACTTGCATCACATATATTGCATTTCTATAATAATATAAATAGAATGAACTCTTCTAGTTGGACAACACTAATAGGAGAATCAACATATTATACTTTTGCTAAAGTTTTTACAACGAATCCTAATTCACGAACACGTGGATCAATGTCGGAATACATTTTCAATAGTCGAGTATTTTCAATTGGCTAAAAAACAAGACAAAATACTTTCATTAGCTAAGTATCCGATAAAAAATTTTGAGTAAGAATTTGAAAAGTAAAACATTAAGCGACAGTAACTTACAAGGAGGTTGTTCACAGAAATATCAACTTCAATATCAGATTCAATGTGTACTAATCGAACGATTGGTACCCGAGCATTGCGCACTATTTCAATAATTCTGAACAAAGGTTCATTTGATTGAAGACATTGAGCTAAGTTTTCCAAAATTTGGATACTGGATTCATTGTTCTAGAATGTAATTGAAAATATTCAATTCATAGAAATTTTCTTAATGAATTAAAAACGTACGTTCATTTCCAATTCAATACAAACATCGAGATCACTATGTTGGAAACCGAAACCATTCTTGAATGAACCCGTCGAATGTACACGACAACCGGGGTATAATTTTTGAAATTCTTTTTCAAGACAAGTTAATATTTTTTCTCGCTGTTCTACATCTTCATTGGCCATTTGACTTTCATCTACAAATAATCTTAACTGATAAAGGAGGCCAACTTTGACAATCTGTCGAGTAATCATACCTGTAATTTTTCGACAAAGTCGTGAAAGTACATCAAACCAATGTTTGCTAATATCCTGCAAAGTAATGATACTTGGCAGAGACAATTTTGGACATGCGGGTTTTTCATGATCAGTCTTAGCACAAACAGTACACACACGTGGAGGACCCTTAACAATACAATCAACATATCGTGTTTATATGATTGATGTTAAAAGATAAATTCATACTTGATCGGCAACAAAGTTTCTCGCACTAAATTCGTGAAAACTTCTGGCAGTATTGTTGGACAGGATGGGTTCAGCTATTGTTAGTATATTAGAAGGAAGGATACGTTCCAGTTGAATTTCTTTTGCAGCGTTATTGACAATATTCGATACACTTGAATAAGAGGCTGGCAACCCTTGAACTGCATTAATTATTTCACGCATTTTCTGATTGAACTCATGAACTATAGTTTGAGCTTTTGTTCAGAAATGTTTTATCGACTAGAATTAAATATTACCGTGTTTCTGATACTGAAGTCTGAAAACAGATTTTTGATGTTCATCGAGACATTGAATGAGTTTCTCGTATGAAATGGGCTGCTCGATGACATCATCTTCCGACTTATGAATATGATTTATCTGCTGCACCTGTTCGACCTTCTCGCTATTTAATCTACAGAAAATGATAAAGAACATTATATACTATGAGTAATTTACCTATTTGACTCAAGTTGCCGTTTCGATTCATTATAATATGTTTGATAGTATGCTTGTTGAATATGGTCCTGTGTGATATTGCCATTTATCTTGATATCAGATAATAAAATATTGAAGAAGGTTTTGTATGAACAGCAAATTTGATTCATTATCAAATCAGTTACTATGGACGGATTTCTGCTAGGCATACACAGATAATACAAAGACTTATTGAATGTTTTTCGAAGGTATGCTAATGAAGCATTCGTCTTCATAGTATGAGCTAAATTTCGATTAATATCCATTGGATCTAATAAACAGAAAAAATAATATGAACGTGACATTTCAGTTGGCGTACTACCTGCGCAATATGGAGTTTGTCGTGATCTTTGTCTATCAGTTTTTAGAATAGGCATTCGTGTTTGTATTGAAATAACAAAATCATCGAAGTTAAAACCTAATTGATAATAGGAGAGTATTTGAAGAAAGAGAAGTTCGATAGGTTCTTTATTTTCTGTTTTCCATGTAGTGATGTAATTATTGCAATGAGCAAAAAAGTCGATACAATCATTATCATTCAATGTTACCAATGCTTGATTAATTCCAAGTACCTTTTATTTTCAATATAATAGGTGAACAGTTAATGAGTAAACATAAGAAACCAATACTTACACATTCATTTAGACATGGCAAAACGGGTTTCTCAATTTGTTGGAGGAAAAAAATGAGCATGATATGAAAAACAAACGGATGCAGTGTACCCTTATCAGGATTATCTAAGAAACAAGTCTAAATAAAGATATGAGAGAAAGTTACATTAGAGTATTCCATAGTAGAAAAAAATATAACTGACCTTAACAAAGAATCGAAAGAGTCTTAGTAATGGTAGCACACGAGTGTCGCATCTTATGTAGAGACGAATTAGTGCTGTAAAATAAATTCCTCGTTTATAATTTGATGTAATTCGCATGCGAAAGTTTGTGTTTGTTACAATAAAATCAACACAAATTGGATCATGTTCTACATTCAGTTGAATATTTTGGCCAAATCCTAATTGAATATCACACAGTTTTAAAAGATTATATGATATAATACTGCATACCAGAAGTGCGAATGATTTCCGATACATCTCTTAAGGTATTGTAAGAGAAATGTTCATCACATTGAACATCAATATCGATTACAGCAGAGTTACTCAAGCAACATGCAAAAGATACGGAACCATATAGAGTGATTTGTGCATCTGTTTGGAAGATAACTTCTAGATTGCCTTTTTACAAAGTATACCGTTTGTTACTTACTTGCTTTTCTTGCCAGGATAATAGTTTTAAATTGATTATAAAGATTCATTGCTTGTTGAAGATTGACCGTAGATAAATATTCTTTGACGATGACTCTGTCTAAGGCATATTTCAACATTGTCAGATGTTGATGTACAGCATTTATATCAAAAATTATGTTTGGATATTGTGGGTTTTTGCAAGGATTATTTTGTACACTTGGAGGCTGGATAATAATGTACGAATTGAAAGGCAGGGGAACTACAAAGAAAAACATTATCTTTGTTAGTCTTCGGAATATGATAAATAATATGTGACAATTACTATTTCCTGGTCGAGCTGGTGCAGGTTGCTGAACGTTATGAGATGATGGCGGATACGAAGGGGTTGCTGGAGGAGTTGGTTGCATGAGTGGCACCCAAAGTGACATAGGATAAACAGGATTCACACGCATAAGTGGAACAAAATTAGTTGGTATACTCTGGTTGCCATAGTTTCTCCCTTCAGGATCTGGTTGCTGCATGATATAGTGATGATTGGAATATATATTGACAATGTTTTTGGCCTTTTCTGTTCACCTTTGCATCCAAACGAGAGCAAATAGTTTTATAGATCAAAATCTCATGTAACATAAAAAAAACAGCAAATACACCCACCTGTCTGGGTGAAAAAAGCTACCATCCACATATTTTTCTCTTTTTCTCATTTGTATTTTCAAAAAAAAACCACGAGGCATTCAAGCTTTTTCTCTGTTCTACTGTAAGCAACCTCTTGACAAAATGCATCGCTGATAAAATTTATAGTATGGTAGTGAACTTTTAATTTTTTTTTTTGCATGTTTACTATTAGCTTCTGTATGACTTAGGCTGAAGTTGGTTTTTGTAATTGGTAGTGTTTGTGAAGCTGATATGATTGATTTTCTATATGTGCAGTTCTGTACTAATAAAACTAAAAAGTACTGAAACAAAATCAGATCCGTATGAATATCGATGGATTGTTCTAATTTGGGTGAATTACAGATATTTTACATTGTCTCATTATTGAATGCAGTTCAGTATGTCATAACAAACGCATTTATATCGAAAATTAAAATAATATTTGATCATAATATAACTTTGGATATTCATGAAAGGTATCTTGAACCTTCACTCTTCGGTTTATCTTTTGAACAAATCGAATAACTTGTGAAATCGCAGTAGTATTCGAGTTGTTCATAAATCAACTGGAGATATTGCAAATATTTTCGTGATTTTTGAAGTGAATACTAATTAGTTCGATTAAGATTTAATATGAAATTTCTGGAAAAACTCGAAAAATATCCTATAATTAATAGAATATGAATACCTCTAGATGAGTACAGATAGTTTATGCTTCTATGAATTCAAGCTACTCCCGATCTCTACAAGGAAGAAAAAAATGTGATGAATGCATTTTGCAAACCTTCGTCTTGACGTACGGTAGGCCAATATTTGGAGTCATCATCAATTTCGGTGTAGGTTGTGGGTGCCGATTACGACGTATGCAAATGTTGGCATAGATGTGTGCGTGGGTGTGAATTCGGGTGGATATTGGTGTTGACATATGTGGCTATGAGTGTGGATGATAGAAAAGCCATACCCACATCCTTTGAAAATAATTGCATAGAAATCCTAGAGAATTCTGAGGAATATTATGATTTCTTAAGAATCATATGGAATACTTGGAATTCGAAGGAATTCAAGACTTCAGACTTTCGTGCTTTTCCCTTTGGATAGGTTAAAATAAGAGTTGTTGCTAGTAGAAATGCGATAATCTATATGAACTACGTATGTTATGTCTTCGTAAAACTTGACCGAAAAAGAATTGACACGATACTGACCTATTGGAAGTTCTCGTAATTGTTACGAAACCTAAAATGGTTCCGACTTTTGAAACAAAATCTGAACCATTTCAGCTGTTTTTTTAGGCAAAAATTATAAAGGCTTGGAAGACGCTTTTTCGACCACTCACAATCGTTTTGAAGAATCTTAGGTTTTCTAGGGAAACTTTTTTCAAAGTTTCGATCTTTGAGCAAAAACTGGTTCGATGTGACATTTTATTGTGTAGCATTGCTGATGTTATTAGTAGGATATTGAATCTAGTGGAGGGTGAGTGTGGGTGTGGGTAAAGAAAAGATCAACACCCACACTCACACCCACACCTTAGGCATGTTCATACTCTAAATTCATACGGGCAAGGTTATTGTGAACTTTTGTTAAGTATATTTCTTTCTTTCCTAATCTGTGAAAAAGTAAAAGGGTGCGGGTGTTCTTAAACAAAAGATCCACGCCTACACTCTTACTAGAAATAAATAAATTAAAATTAAAAAGAATTTTGTTCTAAGCTAAAAACAATGTCAGTTATTTCAAATATGATTGATAATAAAAAAGAATACGGAGCAGAAATATATTCAACTGCTCATCTATCTGTTGATCGATGCCAAAGTGTTCTTCATGGTTTAGGATAAATATTTCATGAAGACAAAAATAAAAATAACTAATAATTCATTTTGAAAACAAAAAAAAAATTGTTTTTATCTATGTAATCCAAATGATAAAAGTTTTCTTAAAGTTGAATTAGAAGTTTCTATATCAGGAATTGTACAAGATCGAGAAAAATGCCATCATTTAATTGATGATGGAATAAATCATATAAAAGAAAATGATTTTTTGTTTTTCTTATTTGTAAATTTAATATTGGTCTAGAATTTGATCAATGTAGTGAAAAACATGGTGTATGATCTTTCATGAACGATTATCTTACGAAATGGTAATTATATCATTATGATTTGTCTTTGGGTACCCATAGGTCGTGAAGGGTGTAAGACAATAAAGAGACAAGGCTACAAGTGGTACAAGGGACATACGGCTAAATGGACTATAAAAATATGTTTGATAGAAGAGTATGAGGCCGTAAGGCTTCGATCTATATAGATAATATCGCGTATCTGTATGCCTGTTATCGGATGAAAAGTTAAATATCTGAAGTCATACTTTAAAGGAGAAACCAGCCGTGTGGTATCCACAGGTTCTCGCTAGTATGAACCTAATCTCTAAGATAACTGATCACATAAATATCGCAGACACAAACACGTTTCGTGTACCTCTTTATAATCATTATTAGAGAATTTTTTGTTTTTGACCTTACTAAAGAAAAGGTGAATTATCTACTTTTCTGTTTACATCAGTATTGCCTGCTACAGGTCTTCTTCGACTCACTCTAATTATTCTCAATCCGTTATTGTTTCTTCACTTTATGGTTTTTCATTCTATTTGTGTAATCATAAAAATTTTTCCTTGAATAGCAGACAAAAATTATGCAGATATTTGAACAAAAGAAAGAATAAACGAAAACAATTGCATATCTCAAAATATTTCTATATTAGGATCTAGTCTATTCTATTTTCATAGATATTATCTATTTTTTTTTCTTCTGAAAATTCCTTTTTCAATTATAATGATTAGTTTAAAAAATTTTATTCTATGGAAATTCTTCTTAAAATATCATTTAAAATAGATCTTCTCTAAATAACTTACATTTTACATGCTCGAATAAATACCATACACACTAAAATCATTTTGTGTTGTGCTTATTTTCTGATGGTATTCGAGAGAAGTGAGTCAATTTTAGTAAGTTTTCCATCGCTTTTTTTTTGTAAAATCAGGCATTGAGAAAAATTTTCGTATTTAATATGTATTATCAGGATATGATCGAAGCACCTCTCCCCGTTTAGGCAGCCTACGACTATTTATTATCGAAAATATTCATGAATTCAATCTTTTTCTAACAAATCGAAATATACCACATTTTAGAGATTGGACAAACACATAATTTAAACAGTACTTTTTACTGTTGTACAACGGTCACATAATAATCAGTTTTTTTTCAGTAGTTTTTAGAAAAAGGAATCGCGTGACAAGATGTCTACATCAGAACCAATGCTTTTATTTGGTTGGAAATATTTTTGTCAAGCACAGCGCTATTTTTTTTCTTCGACAATTCTTACGATGCTCTGAATCGTTGAATGTATTGCCCGTTTTAACCATCGGGTTCGTTAAATATCAACGGAGAAGAACATAAACCGATTATTTGTACACGTAATGCGGCGTTTCACGGAAAAGAACGATTTTTGATTAGTCGACTGGTGTTTCCGTATCATCAGAAATTCTTTTGAATAAATCGCTTCTTTTTTCAGCTCAATTAAATAAAGTGTGTATCGTACGCATGAAGTGGAAATTCAAGAGTGAAAAAATGCGAGTGTTAATATTTTTGTTGCACATATTGATGCTTGTTGGTCTTGGTAATAGTTTGGTGTCTTTTTGCTCAAAGTAACTTTTATATAACTTCTTTTCGATCGAGCGACTTCACTGATCTGACATCATGTCATCAAACAACGTTATCAATCTGGTGATCCCATGATAATGAAGAGACAATGGATACAATGCACATAGTTTCTATCAACATAATCCATTCGTTTGAATATGTTCAATTTCAAATTTCCTATTAACAATGATTGGAATAGTGTGTTTATTCCGCTTTTAGAATTTTTTTACAAAAAAATGGATTTGAGAAATTCGATTGATTTGTTTTGATGATTTTTCATAAGACTTAAAGTAAAGGACTATTTGATGCTATAATGTCTCATTATTTCAAGAATAAGAAACATGATGTACAATTGATTCTTAAATTCTCATTGAGCACAAGGAATTTGTGACTGAATTAGAATGAAGCTAGGATACAGCGGTCAAGCACTTGATTTAAACACTTTTCATGATTGATTATTAACACAAATTACGACTTATGATTTTAGAATCAATACTATTTCAGATGAACTTCAACATCTGACGGTCGGTTTGTGCAAACTAGATTTTTTTTAAACAGATTTTTCCGTTTCTGATAATCTTGTGTCTGATAAAAGTCGAGAGCCAACAAACGATCTCTCTGAACAAAAGAACTGCTTTTGGGACTACAAACCTCTCAAAAATGAGAATCGAATAAGTCGATCATAACTCTGGCGGAAAAGTCCATGCAGATGAGTCATTGTAGGCTTCGATTAATTCTGTCGAGTTCTACTTATGAGTGGAATATGAAGTTCATCGACGTCCGACAACTGATAATGTTCTTCTTGTCACCAGACGGGTATAACTATGAACAAATAAATGTGGAAACCTCGGAGTTAAATCCGAGAGTTATGTGTACTTAAAAAAGTGAATTACACAGACGAGTCATTCTAGAATGTGTGGACATAAAAATTATCCTGACAAGCCTTTTCTATTGGTTAGTGCGGTTAGTGCTCAACCAATAGGTTTTGAGAACGAATACAGGTCAGATTTGAACTCTTCGCCTTGATTTACCCTAAGAAAGTCGCTTTTCCTATAACTTGATTTCTATTGGTTACTGCTCAACCAATAGGAATTCGAGGCAAGTGGAGCTCAGACTCGAGTTCTCCGCCTCAAAAAAATCTCGAAGTATCATCTTTGTGATCGAAAGATAGAGCTCTAATTG